CTACTAAAAAATACAAAAATAGCCGGGCGAGGTGGCCGGGGCGCCTGTAGTTCCCAGCTACTCAGGGAGGCTGGCAGGACCCGAGAGGAGGAGCTTGCAGTGAGCTGAGATCCGGCCACTGCACTCCAGCCTGGGCGACAGAGCGAGACTCCGTCTCAAAAAAAAAAAACAACTCTCTAAGGGTCACGAAGATTTTCTCCCAGGTTTTCCGCTAAAGTTTTCTAGGTCTTGCATTTAGGCATCTGGTCCATTTCAAGTTCACTTTTGTTGTGGTATGAGTGGGGTCCAGGCGCAGGTTTTTTGTGTCTCTCTCTAGTCGTCCCAGCACCGCTTGTTGAAAAGATTGTCTTTTTCCTGTTGAAATCCTGTGACACGTTTGTCAAAGATCCGTTGATCGTGTGTGTGTGTGTGTGTGTGTGTGTGTGTGTGTGTGTCTGTTTCCGGACTCTCGATTCTGTTCTGTTGATCTTTTTGTCATTCTTTCACTAATACCACGTTGTCTTTCTAACTAGAGCTTTATGGAAAACCTTAAAATCAGATAGTCTGAGTCTTTGATTTTGTTTTACAAACTTATTTTGGTTACTCTAGGTCCTTTAGGTTTCCATTTAAATGTTAAAACTTGCTTGTCAGTTTCTGGGGGAAAATGCCTTCTGGGATGTGACTGAAATTACATTGCGTCCATAGATCAGTTTGAGGAGAATTGAGGCCTTAATAATATTAAATCTTCTGCTTCATGGACATGGCAGATCTCTCCAGTATCTTCTTTGTTTTTATTTTTGAGTCAGAGTCTTGCTCTATCACCTGGGCTGGAGTACAGCGGAACAATCTCAGCTCACTGCAACCTCTGCCTCCTGGGTTCAAGTGATTCTCATGCCTCAGTCTCCCAAGTAGCTGCGACCACAGGTGCACACCACCATTGCCCGGCTAATTTTTTTTTTTTTTTTGTATTTTTAGTAGAGATGGGGTTTCACCATGTGGGCCAGGCTTCTTTTCTCTATTGATAGTGTCTTATCCTTTGAATAAGTGTTTATTTGAATATTCAAGAAGTACTTTCTTCTTGGACTAGAATAATACCTTCCATATTTTTCTCACATCTATCCCCAAGTCTTTCAATTCTCTTTTCCAAGCAACCTGTTACTGTTTCATAAAAGCCTTTCCAGATACATTTCATGCATACATATGCATTATTCTGAGGCGTTTCTCTCCACTTAAAAATCACCCGTGGCAGCTTGGTGTGTCCCGCTCTGTACCTCGGTTTTTCTTGTGCTGTGTCTTAGAGTCATTTCACATCAGAACACACAGAAATCGCCGTTGTTCTTTTCAGTTCTCTTCACACTGTGTTCTAAATGATGCCTGTGCCATAATTTAATCATCCTCATCCATCCGTAATGAGGCCCTTTCCTGTTTTTTGTCTTTTTCTGATGTCATCAGTGTATCAATAAATATCCACACACATTAAACATAGATACTGGATGCCCAGGCGTGGTGGCTCATGCCTGTAATCCCAGCACTTAGGGAAGCCAAGGCAGGCAGATCACTTGAGGTCAGGAGTTTGAGACCAGCCTGGCCAATGGGGCTAAACCCTATCTCTACTAAAAATACAAAAAAAAAAAAAAAAGGAAAATAGGTTGGCATGATGGCGCATGCCTATGGTCCCAGCTACTTGAGTGGCTGAGGCATGAGAATCACTTGAACCCAGGAGGCAGAGGTTGCAGTGAGCCGAGATCGTGCCACTGTACTCCAGCGTGGGTGGCAGAGTGAGACTCTGTCTCAAAAAACAATAGATACTGGATGACCGGGCGCAGTGGCTCACGCCTTTAATTCCAACACTTTGGGAGGCCGAGGCAGGTGGATCACTTGAGGTCAGGAGCTCGAGACCAACCTGGCCAACGTGGCAAAACCCCATCTCTACTAAAAATACAAAAATTAGCCAGGCATGGTGGCGCACACCATGTAATCCCTGCTACTTGGGTGGCTTGAGGCTGCAGTGAGCTGAGATCATGCCATTGCACTCCAGCCTGGGTGACAGAGTGAGACACCATCTCAAAAAAAAAAAGAGAGAGAGACAGAAAGGAATGTTTAAAGTACAGCAGAACATCTCAGAATAATAGGAAAACATGCCTCACATACAAACAAAAATTCAAATCCTCATGCTGAAGCATGAGAATCACTTGAACCCAGGAGGCAGAGGTTGCAGTGAGCCAAGCTCATGCCGCTGCACTCCAACAAATACAGGATTTGAATCTGTATTTTAGATCTGATTATCCGATATCTGTGTTTTAGAGCTTGATATTAATGACAGGTATCTCATCGCAGCATGCTAAGGGGAAAGACAATAGAATTTGAAGCGCGCCCGCTGGTGTTCCCTCAGCCACACCATTTCCTGCGGACCTTGGGCTAGTGATTGGAATGCTCTGAGTCTCAGTGGCCACATCTGTAACGCTGGACTCTTTCCTTCCTAGGACTATTGTCATGGTTAAGGCAGATGGGCAGATGAGAACCCCCAGCCCAGCTTCTGACCCATGTGTCGCTTTCCTTCTCCCCATAATCATAGTACAAAAGAGTTGTCAACGTGGACTTTCCATAGGTAATAGTTCTGTTCATCCATTTGAAAATAATAGTTGGCCGGGCGCGGTGGTTCACGCCTGTAATCCCAGCACTTTGGGAGGCCGAGGTGGGCGAATCACAAGGTCAGGAGATCAAGACCATCCTGGCTAGCACGGTGAAACCCCGTCTCTACTAAAAATACAAAAAACTAGCCAGGCGTGGCGGCGGGCGCCTGTAGTCCCAGCTACTCAGGATGGTGAGGCAGGAGAATCACTTGAACCTGGGAGGCAAAGCTTGCAGTGAGCAGAGATCACACCACTGCACTCCAGCCTGGGCAACAGAGCAAGACTCCATCTCAAAAAAAAAGAAAAAAGAAAAAAAGAAAATAATAGTCAAGATTTGGTTATTGGGTGCAAAATACAGTGAGGGAGAAGGAACGAGGCCCAGTGTTCAATAGCATGTCACAGTGACTACGGTTCACAGTAAGTTAGTGTATATTTCTGAATAGCTAGAGGAGAAGATTTGGAATGTTCTCCACACAAAGGAAGGATCACATGTGAGGGGATAGATGGCCAGTTCCCCAGATTTGATGATGACATGCTGTATGCTTGCGTCAAAATATCACATGTACCTCTCAAATATGTGCCAATCTCTCCATGAAAATTTTTAATAGAAACATTTTTTAAAGATTTGGCTACTATTTAAAAAGTTGGTTTCCTGCTGGGTGCAGTAGCTCGCGCCTAATAATCCCAGCACTTTGGGAGGCCAAGGCAGGCACATTGCTTGAGCTCAGGAGTAGGAGACCAGCCTAGGCAACATGGTGAAACCCCATCTCTACAAAAAGAGTTTAAAAATTAGCCAGGCATGGTGGCGCACACCTGTAATCCCAGCCACTCAGGAGGCTGAGGCAGGAGAATCACTTGAACCCGGGAGGCGGAGGTTGCAGTGAACCGAGATCGCACCACTGTACTCCAGCCTGGGTTACAGAGTGAGACTCTGTCTCAAAAGATAAATAAATAAATAAATAAGAGTTGGCTTCCTAATTTATTTCTCTATGCATTGAGTTCTACTTAGTGAGCTCCCTCGTGTGGGGCACAGCTCTGTGCACTGGCTCTCTGATGTCTCACACGTAACTGGCTCTTCCCCCTCCATTTCTGCAGAGAATGCCAGCATCAAGCCAGGTCCATCGACAGTGAGATTGAGGCCTATAAGAAATCCATCATGAAGGAGGAAGAAAAGAACGAGAAGCTGGCGAGCATCCTGAACCGGACAGAGACGGAAGTCAGACTGCTGCAGAAGCTCACCACCCAGTGCCTGACCAAGCAGGTGGCCCTGCAGAGCCAGTTCAACACGTACAGGCTCACCCTGCAGGACACAGAGGATGCCCTCAGCCAGGACCAGCTGGTGAGGCCGGGCCCGCCCCACAGGTCACGCCTGGCACGCTGTGGTGCCTCTTCAGGCACATCCACCCTGTGGCTCCTCCTCTCCAGGAGCAAATGATACTCACAGAGGAGTTGCAGGCCATCCGCCAAGCCATCCAGGGCGAGCTGGAGCTCAGGAGGAAGACAGACGCTGCCATCCGGGAGAAGCTGCAGGAGCACATGACCTCCAACAAGACCACCAAATACTTCAACCAGCTCATCCTGAAGCTGCAGAAGGAGAAGACGAACATGGTGGGCCCCTGCCCCAGGATGGGGCTGTGCGAAGTCGCCTGCAGCCTGCGCATGTGAGGGCAAAGGCGTACTGGGGGCGGAGAGGGCGGAGTCAGCGTGAGCAGAGGGCCCTCGTGTGCTCACTCCTTTCCATGGCGTTCCGGTTGTAAGGATGATACATTTTTACTGTAGAAAGCCTAGAAATAGACCAGGCGCGGTGGCTCAGGCCTGTAATCCCAGCACTTTGGGAGGCCGAGGCGGGTAGATCACCTGAGGTCAGGAGTTCGAGACTGGCCTGGCCAACATGGCAAAACCCTGTCTCTGCCAAAAATACAAATAATTAGCTGGGTGCGGTGGTGGGCGCCTATAATCCCAGCTACTCGGGAGGCTGAGGCAGGAGAATCGCTTGAACCTGGGAGGCAGAGGTTACAGTGAGCTGAGATCATGCCATTGTACATCAGCCTGGGTGACAGAGCGAGACTCCGTCTAAAAAAAAAAAAAAAAAAAGAAAGAAAACCTAGAAATACAGAAAGGCATAAAGAAGAAAATGAGACAGCTCTAGGCCCACCATCCAGAGGCAACTTTTTTTTTTTAAATTTGGTAAATTTCCTTCTGGAAATTTTTAATACAGAAATACATTTGCACCCACCCACAAACATACACATGTAGTCATTCTCACACATGCAAACACATTCACACACACGAACACACATGCAATTGCACATGCCCCCACGCACACACAAGGAAACGCAAACTCACACATACACACACACCACACACACAAACTCCTACACACACACACAAACTCCTACACCCACACATACACTCAAAAGCCTACACACATACACACACTCAAAGTCCTACAAACACACACACATACGCAAGCACACACCTTATGCAGCACTGGACTCAGGCCCATTTTCTTTTTCTTATTTATTTATGTATTTTATTTTTTGACACAGGGTCTCTGTCGCCTAGGTGGGAGTGCTGTGGCACAATCACAGCTCACTGCAGTCTCGAATCCCTGGGTTCAAGTGGCCCTGCCACCTTGGCCTCCCAAAGCCCTGGGATTCTGGGCCTGTGCCACTGTGCCCAGCCCCCAGGTCCACGTGCATCCATTTGTGATTAATATCACTGAGCTATGACACAGAGAATGGGAGTCAATGAATCTTTGCTACTTGTATAGCTTTTCATTTTGCTGTATTGACCATATTCAACATAACATTTCCTCATGCCACCAAATATTCTTCAAAACCTCAATTTTCATTTCTGTATAACATCTTATCCTACAAATGTACATATTTTGTTTACTAAGTCTCTTGTTAGGCACTTCAGGCTGTTTCTCGTTTTTATTTTATCTTATTTTATTTTGTTGTTATTTGTTTATTTTTTTGAGATGGAGTTTCGCTCTTGTCACCCAGGCTGGAGTGCAGTGGTGCCATCTTGGCTCACGGCAACCTCCGCCTCCCGGGTTCAAGCAGTTCTTCTGCTCAGCCTCCCAAGTAGCTGGGATTACAGGCATGCGCCACCATGCCCAGCTAATTTTTGCATTTTTAGTGGAGACGGGGTTTCACCATGTTGGCAAGGCTGCCCTCGAACTCCTGACCTTGTGATCCACCCGCCTCAGCCTCCCAAAGTGCTGGGATTACAGGTGTGAGCCACCGCATGGCCAGCTGCCAGTCAAAGGCAGATTTCCCTGGGGGGCCCTGGAGTGTGACCTCAGCGTCCATTCCATAGCAGGGCACCCCCGATTGTGAGCTCACGTTCACTTCCCCTGGGATCTTGCTTTATCCTTTATCGCCTGTGGTAGGGGGTGGAGGGGACTTGTGTCCTTAGAAAAAACAATTCCTTACTTGAATGGTTTTCTCTTTGCCTCTTCCTGAGGGGTAACCCTCCCCCACCAGCCTGAAGCAGGCCCCTTTGGAGGACCCCCCCAGAGGCCGCCACAGACCGCGCCATTTCCAGGGCACATCCCGGCAGTGGGGCCTGTCCAACAGTCCCCATTTTAGTCTCGGAAGAGTGACGGATTCCCGATGCCAAGCTCTGCTGGTTTTGCCCTCCTGAGGAGTGAGACAGGAGCTGGCCAGGCAGAGCTGAAGGGCGTGGTGGGTGTGAAGGAGCCTGTCCAGCCGTGCTGCTACGCTGCCAAGTCCAGTTCCCAATCCCCAGGCCTCAGGCCCCCAGGGCCCCAGAGCCCCAGGGCCCCAGCCGAGCCCCTTTCTGGGCAGCCCGATAGGTCATACCTGTACTGCTGCCAGTTTCCAGAAGAGGGCAGCAAAGAGTCTTGGACCAACAAATTAGTCTATTACGACAATTTTCCAACGGATGCCAGTCCAGCTGTTGAAAACGGTACCTCCCACCCGATTTTTGAACTGCTCAAAGCCCCATGGGCTGATAGAAGGTGGGGTGGGGAGGCATATCTGGGAGGAGGAGCAAAGTGTGGATGGGCAGGACCACCCGTCTGGAGCTGGCCGCCATGGGGTCCAGGCAGTTAATCCAGGAACGGTGTAGAGGCCTGGGGGGAGCCAGGGTGGGGTCCGCAGGGACCACAAACAGTCCGGAGTGGAGCAGGGCAGGCAGGCCTGGCTGTGACGGGGGAGGGACTGAAGGGGACTTGGAGCCACAGCCCCTGCGGGGCAGCTGGGGAGGGGGGAGGCAGGAGTCCTTGTGGGGCCCAGATCTCAGGGTGACCTTGGCAAAGGAGGAGGCTGCAAGCTGACATTGCCACACAACTCCGGACGCTGGAGGCTTCCACTCCAGGTGGGCAGGGTCTGGGTTCCACACTCTGGGAATGCTGGGTCTCCTGGGAAGTCACCTATGGTGGCCGGCGAGAGACATGGAGCCCACAGGCGTGGTGGGAGGAGAAGCTCAGATGGCCCTGAGGAGGCTGGGGTAGGCGGGACCCACAGACGTGAGAGAGTTGAGGCCTTGTGTGGCAGGAGCCAACGGGCAGGGGTGGTCAGGGCAGACACGTGGCCTGAGGCCACCTGTCAGAGCCACGCCCTGGGGAAGAGGACCCCGTCCCAGTGGTGACAGCAGCTCCCTATTCCCAGAGCAGCTCTGGCCGTACCATTGCAGCTGTGAGTGTCACTGCCTCACTCCTGATTCTCACAAACGTCCTCACAAACGTCCTCTCGATAAAATCCCCATTGCCAGAAGGGATCGAAAGGAATCTGTCTAATGCCTCCAAAGAGCCCACAGAGGAGGCCAGCACTGGCTGCTCAGACCTGCAGGACAGCAGGACGGGTCAGAACCCACAGAGGAACCAGTGTCCAGCAATTGCTTCTTGCTTCATAAACCATGCTCCAAATGTGACAGAGTGTAGCACAGCCGTTAAAACTTAGAGAACGTTGTCAGATTAAAAAGCAGGTTAGCACCCAGTGTGTAGGGTGTGATCCTATTTTTATTTGGAGAGTTATATAGAAAAGCCTGGAAGGAAAAATGGATTCAGATGGGAATGGTAGCTAACTTGTGTCAGAATTGCAGGCAGTTGAATGTGTTATCCTCTATTCTGGCCTGTTTTTTCACATTTCCTCACAATGTGTGTGCTCCTATTTAAGAAGTGTGTTAGTCACACTGCTGTAAGGAAATACCTAAGACTGGGTAATTGATAAAGGAAAGAGGTTTAATTGACTCACCGTCCCACACGGCTGGCGAGGCCGCAGGAAACTTACAATCATGGCAGAAGGCGAAGCAGGCGCCTCCTTCACAAGGCAGCAGGAGAGAAAGAGTGTGTGACGGAGGAACCGTCAAACACACAAAACCATCAGATCTCGTGAGAACTCACTCGCTATCACAAGAACAGCATGGGGGTAATGGCCCCCATGACCCAGTCACCTCCCACAGGGCCCCTCCCTTGACACGTGGGATTACGGGGACACAATTCAAGATGAGAGGTGAGTGGGGACACAGCCAAACCACATCAATAAGAAAAGTGAATACCATGATCTCTCTTTTCTGTAAAAACCTAACATCTGGGTTCCAACAAGCAGGTTCCCTGCTGGGACCTTGAGACGGCGGGAAATCCAGCCTCCTGCTCGCAGGACTGTGCGTTTGGAATTTCTCCAGAGGAACATCCCGACCGTCAGGGAACGGTGGATCGGTAAACTCGTCCCAGGCCTCTGGTGGGAGCAATATTCACAGGCATTTCCTTTCATCATTTCAGATGACACATCTTTCCAAAATCGACGGCAACATTGCCCAGACCACCCTGGACATCACACGCACCAGCAGCAGGCTGGACGCACACCGGAAGACGCTGCTGGAGCTGGACCAGGACGTGAAGAAAGTCAACGAGCTCATCACCAACAGCCAGAGCGAGATCTCCCGGCGCACAATCCTCATCGAGAGGAAGCAAGGGCTCATCAACTTCCTCAACAAGCAGCTGGAGCGGATGGTCTCCGAGCTGGGGGTGAGGTCCCGGGCAGGGAGACGCGGTCCCCGGTCCCCGGCTGACTGTGGCGCCTGGCGGGGCAGAGCTCCCTCAGGTCCCCCATGGTCAGACCTGAACCCCTGGAAGGCACAGAACTGCCTCTTTCCCTACCCGTTTTACAGACAAAATGGCACGTGTGCCAAGCGCTCTAAGTCATATTTTTCTGCACAGGGCCAGAGAGCATTCAGGCTTTGTGGCCAGTTGGTCTCTCCCACAGTGACACAGCTCTGCCTCCATAGCGAGGAGTGTAGATAAAATGTAAAGGAATGGGCATGGCTGTGTCCAATCAGATGTTATTCAAGGCCACTGAAGTCTGAATTCCAAATAATTTTCACCCAGCATGAAATATTCTGCTGCTCTAAGAGAAGTGGCCTAATGCGTTTGAGGCCTGATGCCATATACGTCATCCAGGTCCCTGTACTCTCAAAGCCCCTTTGGGTTCCAGATGCCATATACGTCATCCAGGTTCCTGTCCCTCTTTGAGGGACTCTCAAAGCCCCTTTGAGTTCCAGAGGCCCCACCCATCCTGCTGGTGCACCCACCATGGGGAAGCTAGAGGGGACTCCAGAGCCCCTTAGTCGTATTTCCTCCAGCGGTGTCTGTGGCTTGCAACCCTGCTGAGAGCTAACTTGAGCCCCTCAACCTTCGTCCAGTTTCATGACCTCAGGGGTCCAGACCCTCTGCAGCCCACTCACAAAGACATTTGAGCCCAAGAAGGCTAATTTTGCTTTTTTTTTTTTGAGATGGAGTCTTGCTCTATTGCCCAGGCTGGAGTGCAGTGGCGCCATCTCGCTCGCTGCACCTCCGCCTCCTGAGTTCAAGCGATTCTCCTGCCTCAGCCTCCCAAGTAGCTGGGACCACAGGTGTGCACCAGCACACCCGGCTAATTTTTGTATTTTGGGTAGAGACGGGGTTTCACCCTGTTGGCCAGGCTGGTCTTGAACTCCTGACCTCGGGTGACCCACCCACCTCAGCCTCCCAAAGTGCTGGGATTCCACGCGTGAGTCACCACACCTGGCCCCAATTTTCCTTTTTGATGAATATCCCATCTAGGGGGAAGAAGTGGGGCCCCTGGAGCTTGAAATCAAAAGGCTGAGCAAGCTGATCGAAGAGCACAATGCCACAGCGGTCCAGGCCCAGGTGACCTGGCTGCGCCTGCAGCAGGAGATGGTCAAGGTGACACAGGAGCAGGAGGCACAGCTGGCCTCCCTGGACGCATCCAGGAAGGAGCTCCACATCATGGAGCAGAAGAAACTACGAGTAGAAAGTAAGAGCCGCCATGTCCGTCCCTGCAGTGATGCTCAGACAAGCTCTGGGGCGGGGGCACCTCCCAGGGGAGGGACACTCAGTGGGGCATGTCGCTGGATTTGCACGCAGCCTTAAAAGCAAATAACAAATGCGCGTGCTCCCCGTATTTTGTAAATGTGAACCACTGCCTGCCCAGCTGCCCAGTTCGCAGTCACGGTGGCAGAGTTGAGAAATGTCACGAAATGTCTCCAAGCTTACAGACTTCAGAGCTCTCCTCGAGAGAGGAGCGTGGAAGGTTATCATCCCCGCCAAGCCAGGGCACTCAGGTGGAAACACTGGCACGGGAAGAGCCAGGGTCCTGCCAGGCGGGCTCCTGGTGCTGTCCCCGCATCACCTCCAGTTGGACTTAGGAAACCATTCCGCCAGGACTCCCCAACCCTTCTGAGGCCCAAGGGGCTGCCAAAGTGCCAGGGTGCCTGGAATGAGGGAGGCGGGCATCCTTCCTGGACCACTCTCCACCCACATGGCCACCTGCCGAGACGTCCCGGGTCCCGCCTGGTCTTGGGTCAGGGATCCATGCTGGTCAGGCCTGCAGCAAGGTCCCCATGGGAAATGCTGCCCAGACACATCGCGTGCCCTTCTCGGAGGTCCTGCTGCCTCTCGCCCTGCCCTTGGGTTGCCCAAACCCATCTTTTGGTGAGTAGCAAGTCCTAAAAGACCCTATGAAGCTGTCAGCTGAATATCGGTGTCCCAAGGCAAGAGGTGCCGAAACACCATGCTGTGAGATGGGATCACCCACGGAAAGGGCAGAGAGAGGGGCTCACATGCCCATGCCCTGGGGCAGTCAGGGCACACTGTGGGGACAGCAGGAGGAGCCAGAGAAGCCCTGTGAGGAGTGGCCAGCGGATGAACCAACTGTGGCCTCTCGTGCCCTTCACTCGTCTTAACATCAAGAAGGGCTGTGGTTTTCTGCCCCTACCCCTGAGCTTGGCTGGGGCGGGGCAGGGGTCTAAGGGCCCCCCCTCTCCTGGAGACTCACAGTGTCTGAGCATCAACCAGGTCCCCAGGCTCCACAGATCTGCGCGTGTCCTGGGGGAGGGAGCCTGGCCCTCCCACACACCCCGCCCACACCTGCTGGCTGTCCCCACAGGTGGGTCCTCTCAGTTCCCTCGGAGGACCAGCCTTTGGGAGCTTAGCCACCGAGAAGAGACCCCTCTCCTCTCCTCTGTCCTGGCAGGGGTGAGATTCAGGCAGGAGCACTGGGAAGGACAAGAGGGAGGGGATGAAGGGAGCTACAGGGAGAGACAAACCCCGGGTCACCTCTCAGATGCCGCTGCGTGCAGGCGAGGACCCAGACCCTCCCGGGGTCTCTCCCCAAGTCTCTGTTCTCTGCCATAGGCAAGATTGAGCAGGAGAAGAAGGAGCAGAAGGAGATCGAGCACCACATGAAGGACCTGGACAACGACCTGAAGAAGCTCAACGTGCTGATGAATAAAAACCGGTGCAGCTCGGAGGAGCTGGAGCAGAACAACCGGGTGACAGAGAATGAATTCGTGCGCTCGCTGAAGGTCAGGCCGCGTCCACACGGTCCCGGGGCTCGGGACGATGGAGGGCGGGGGGACTCGGGGGCACGGTCCCTGCGGGGGGTGCTCTGCACCAGGACGTAACTTCCACACCCGTTCAAGATGCTTGTGGGGGGATTAGAAATCCAGCCTTCAGCCCTGCCCTCGGTGCTGGGACGGAGGGCACCAACCCCGGCATCCACAATCCCATGGCCCTCCCCATAGCTGTCCCGCCCCTCCCCTGTGCAGGACTCTGAGAGGGAGACCATCAAGATGCAGGACAAGCTGAACCAGCTCAGTGAGGAGAAGGCGACCCTCCTCAATCAACTGGTGGAAGCAGAGTGAGTCGCAGTCTCCAGCCACACATGGGTCATGAAGGTCACTGCACCTGCAGGCCTCTGTCCGTTGAAGACCATGTAGGAGGCCGGGTGTGGCAGCTCCCACCTATATCCCAGTGCTTTGGTGTTTGTGTGTGCAAGCCTGTATCCCCAGCACTTTGGGAGGCCGAGACGGTCGGATCACGAGTCAGCGAGATCGAGACCATCCTGGTGAAACACGGTGAAACCCGTCTCTACTAAAAAATACAAAAATACCTAGCCGGGCGAGGCGGCGGCCGCCTGTAGTCCAGCTACTCGGGAGCCTGAGGAAGAATGGCGTAAACCCAGGGGGCGGAGCTTGAAAGTGAGCTGAGATCCGGCCACTGCACTCCAGCCTGGGCGACAGAGCCAGACTCCCATCTCTCAAAAAAAAAAAAAAAAAAAAAAAAGTGCTGAAATTACATGCGTGAGCCACCGTGGGCATCCTAGTGCTTTGGGATGCCAAGGCAGGAGGCTCCTTTGAGGGCCAGAGTTTAAGCACAAGACTGGGCAACACATGAAACTATATCA